TCTATCCAACGAAATCCCCAGTGAATATTTTTTCGGGCTTAAAAATGACTTAATTCTGACAGGCAGAATAGAGGTGGTTATCCATCTTTTTTTTTTGAAGAGTGAATGTCAAACATATGATTGGATAACAAGTACGAACAGAATGGATAATCACTCCAAACCGGTTGGATAATCAGCATGAACACAACGGATAACCATTTTTCAAAGAAAAACGAAAAACACGTTTCTTCATTTTCTGCCCGTAAAGTTTAAATTCATTTAAAGTTCAAAAAAAATATTCAACATTGATCTTATCGGATAGATCTCGTCGAGCACTATAAATTTCATATATAATTCGTGTTATAATTCTTTACGAATCAAAAGATACAAGGAACACAACGATATGCATGTAAAATAAGTTGGTTATCCATCTTCTTAAACTGGTTATCCACTGTGTTCATGTTGGTTATCCAATGTGTTAATACTGGTTATCCAATGGATTTACATGGTTATCCGAATTGTTTGAACTGGTTATCCAATGTGTTCATATTGATTATCCAATGCGCTAATACTGGTTATCCACTGTGTTCATGCTGATTATCCAACTTGTTTGTACTGGATATCCACTGTGTTCATGCATATCCAACTCTAATCTTTCAACGAGCATATCTCCCAATCCGTGAAGAATTTGTGAACGAATTATACATGAAATTTATAGTACTTGTCGAGATCTATCCAACGAAATCCATAGTGAACATTTTTTCGGGCTTAAAAATGACTTAATTCTGATAGGCAGAGTAGAATAGAGGTGGTTATCCATCTTCTTTCTTTTTTGAAGAGTGAATGTCAAACATATGATTGAATAACAAGTACGAACATAATGGATAATCAGTCCAAACCGATTGGATAACCATTTTTCAAAGAAAAACAAAAAACGCATTTCTTCATTTTCTGCCCGTAAAATTTAAATACATTTAAAGTTCAAAAAAAATATTCAATATGGATCTTATCGGATAGATCTCGTCGAGCACTATAAATTTCATATATAATTCGTGTTATAATTCTTTACGGATCAAAAGATACAAGGAAAAGAATAATATGAATGTAAAATAAGTTGGTTATCCATCTTTTTAAACTGGTTATCCAATCTGTTCATGTTGGTTATCCAACTTATTTGTACTGGATATCCATCCATTTGGTTTGTATGTATATCCAACTCTAATCTTTCAACGAGCATATCTCCCAATCCGTGAAGAATTTGTGAACGAATTATATATGAAGTTGATAGTACTCGTCGAGACCTATCCAACGAAATCCACAGTGAACATTTTTTCGGGCTTAAAAATGACTTAATTCTGATGGACAGATTATCCAACTAATTAGTATTATTTATCCAACCTGGTTTAAAATAATAAACTAAGTTGGTTATCCAACTCGTTTGTATTGGTTATTCAATCATTGGTTTGTATTGGATTATCCAATGCGCTTCTTTATTTCTGCCCGTAAAATTTAAATGCATTTAAAGTTCAAAAAAAATATTCAACATGGATCTTATCGGATAGATCTCGTCGAGTACTATAAATTTCATATATAATTCATGTTATAATTCTTTACGAATCATTAGATACAAGGAAAAGAATAATATGAATGTAAAATAAGTTGGTTATCCATCTTTTTAAACTGGATATCCAATCTATTCATACTGGTTATCCAACTTATTCTGCCCATCAAAATTTAGTCATTTTTAAACTCAAAAAAAATATTCGAAATGGATCTTGTTGAATAGATTTCGACGAGTACCATAATTTTCATGCATAACACGTTCTCTAATTCTTTACGGATTATGAGATATGGTCATTGAAAGATTGAAGATATTTCTTAAAGGAGAGAGAAAAAAAGTCACAGGGACTAAACTTGTAAAATATAGAAAGATTGAGAAAAAAGTACAATAAGGACTAAAAATGCAAAAAATAGGAGGGGGGGCACGGTGCCCCCGAGTATACTGGATAATTTGCCCGTACGAGTCATCACTAAATAATTAAATACTATCAATTATAGTAACTACAAAAAAGAACTTTTCCAAAAATAATCACTCAATAATGAAATCCTGCCAAATTTGTCACTGAACTATTGTAGTTCTAAAATGGTCATTACACTAACAAAAAGTGTTTCAAGTTGGAATTTAAAATGTAAATCAGAAAGTTGTTTGAATGATGTCATTGGTTTTTGTGTTTAAGAGGTAAAATGAGTTAAAATGTAAAATGAGTGTTTGTTCAAACAAAGCCGTATTTGCTGCAGAAATCTTCCTTTAAACTTAACTGCATGCTCGAGCAATGCAGAATCGGACAAGAAATAATCCATCACCCTATTCAAGGTTAAAATTTTTTAGAGTTAATGATGGTAATGAACCAAAACAGAAAAGGAATTAGCTTCATTTTGTTTTAGAAAAGAAAATCTAGTGGTGTAGTTAACAACTTCAAGGATGGCATCCAGTGATGAAATATTATATTACAATATATTGAAAACCGTTGATCTGACGTTGAAGATATGGAGATGAATAGTGATAATTAGCTCAGAGAAACAATAAGAACTATACATAATATGGATGAAGAGGCTCAGTGTATTTTGTTTTGGGGAAAAAAAATTAAAATAAAAATGAGTTGCACTTGCAAGTCCTTTTTTCTGGTGATGATATATTAATAACTGTCACATTCCAATATATCTTTTTATATTTTCAATACATATTTTACATTTTCAATAAAAAAAACATCTGAAACCACACACTAAAAAACGAAAAATGAACCAGATAGTAGATCGAATTCATGGCCCTAGTGTAATTTGTTTTCCCAAATTTTATATTGGTATTGATAAATCAGTTTTTTTTTTCCATTTTGAAGACAACAATTGGCATTTTCATATGGAGAGATCAAAAGTTACGACCAAAAACACGATCCATATACTATCTACTATCTCCAATAATGACCATTTTGTTAGTGTGGTTTTAGTCTGTTTACTACAAGATACAAAAAAGGTGTAACCTCAATAATTACTTTCCTCTACATTTGGTTATTAGTTCTCTAAATTTGTCATACTGCAATACTTACGCTTTGATGATTTGGTCTTTTTTTGGTCTTCTCGCACAACTTGCATAATTTTGGAAGGTGAGCATTGATATTTGATTGAAACGTATGCCATTGCCAAGTAATATTGATCGGAGCTCGACGAGCATATACAACGCCTTTGATTTAATATGGTCTACCCAGTTGACATTACAAGGAAACAAAAGTCACCTACTTAAAACTTTCGATTTACCCAAAATCTGATGGGAAAAGTACGTAATTTTTTAACTTATGCTACATGAAAAAAAATCGTCCATATTAAGTTTTGATATTTGAAACGAAAAATTCAAAAATTAAAATTCAATATCTCTGGTACCCTTTTTAGAATCTTACCAACTTAGTTTTGATATTTAGTCAACTTAAAACAAAAAATCTCAACTTTTTTTTTTCCATATATAGAATACGACATGATTATATATGTAATATGCAAAAGCTCCACATTTTATATATCGTATCATTGTTGTCTATTGTCTCCATAATCTGCTTGGTTTTCTTAAGACTGTTTTATGCTCAATTCAAAGGAGGGGTAGTTCCACTTCCATCCCAATAATTGAATGTCCCTCTCGATTTTGGTCATCTACTTGTTCACTCAATGTGTAGGCACCCTCCATACATTAATGCAATATTTACGCTTTGATTTGGTCCTTTTTTCTTCTTTTTTTTTGTCTTCTCGCATGCAACTTGCATAATTTTGCAAGTGAATAATTCTGTTTTCCATCTCGGATTTGGGTGATTTACCTCAAATAGATGGAGAGATTTTACTTCATAGAGTCAATAACTCCAAATTATTCAGCTGCAGTAACTCATTCCATGGTTGTGACAAAGTTTTCAGTCATTTCCTTGCTCCTCTTTTTCCTGTTCTTCTTTTCTACATCTTCAATCAAAGTTTTATATACCCAACATTGGACCGGAAGATGCGAATCGCTTCATTAATACAGCTGGAAATGCTTACATTTCAAAGCAAGGAATGCGACCTTCTTCCTAGCTAACTCCCGCGGGCTCAAGCTCCCGGGAAATAAATATGTGCCTCGGCCGCTGCGAATTAATCATTGGTGGATCCTGTTGTTGCAATTGAGAATGATACTTGTCCAGATGTTTGGGATGTTCAAAATGACTGTAGTGTTTTGGTTATTTTTGTAACGGTCAAAATCCCCGTTTGAACAAAAGATAAGTGAAAGACCTTATCTCGCGTGAAAAGAATGTAATACTTGAACTCACCATATAAGTTTCATGTGTTACTCCTCTCATCGTGAATTAGTTTTGAGGTGAAACCATATGTGAATTTATATTAGCCTTCAAGAATAACTTGTAATCTACGTGTAAGAAATAAGTCACAGCGTTAAAACTCTCTGTTTTATTTTTTGTATTTCTCCAACAATCTTCTGCAAAGTCCTCTTCTGCCAGGCAGGTTTTGCGCTGTATTACTGCTTTCTCATATATCATCAATTAAAAGACCAACGTGTAACCCCGCCACGTCCAATGTGGAAAACTTTAAATACATGGAAAAGAGAATGTATACTGTCCCACGTTTAGTAATTGTGACCCAAATTGACTGGTTTGAAGTAGAATCACTTGCAGGTTTATATAGGCTTTCAAGAAAGTGAAAAAAAAGGACCAAACTAGCTAGGCGATCGGTTCTTAGATTTGATATGTTTTGCGAATTTTATCTTGGTTTCGATTTCTACATGTTGACTGCAACAATTTACATTTTGCAGATACAAGTATCAAAAGCTACAACTCTCCATGAATGGCCTTTTCTGGTAGTTTCTTTTAGACGAATTTTCAACTAAATGCAAAAAAGGGCACTTTCTCTCAATAAATAAATATCCCTCTACATTATGGTCATCTACTTTCTCTAAATTGGTAAACATCAGTGATATATATATACCCTTCAATAGGGTCCCCAAACCCAGCAACTTGCGTGATTTTGCAAGTTGAGAATTAATTGAGAGTAGGAGTGAAGTGATTGGAGCTTAACGAGCAAATACAGAAGCATTCTTAAGTCTTGACACAAAGAAACAGAGAAAAAAGAAAGTTGAAAAAAATATGGGTTCTCTGTTTGCCTTGGTGTTTTTGGTAACCTTTCTTTCAGCATCATCACTGGAGTTTAATTTACCCAGCATCGGACAACCAGAAACTGGCATGATAAACGTTACACTAGATGCTTACATTTCAAACCAAGGAATTAAGCTCACTCCAGAAGAGCGTAGAACCGCCCAAGCTGGAAAATCTGGCCGAGCTACATATCTTGAACCCCTTCATTTATGGGACAAATCCTCTGGTTTGGTGACCAACTTCTCCACAAATTTCTCCTTTCTTATATTAGCAGACAGCCCTGATGGCTTTGCGGATGGGTTGACCTTCTTCCTAACTCCCGTAGGCTCAAGAATCCTGGAAACTAATGCTTCATACTCGGGTGGGGGTTCCTTAGGCCTCGGGAACAGGACCTCAACTGAGAATGTTCCTCTTGTTGCGATTGAATTTGATACCTGGAAAAATGTTTGGGATGTTCAAGACGGTCCACACGTGGGGATTGATATCAATTCGTTTGTGTCGGTTACCAGCATTCCGTGGGCGAATAATATGACCCAAGACAATGTGAATACTGCTTGGATTACTTATGATTCTGTGGCCATGAATCTCACAGTTTCATTCACTGGTGTCCAGAATAATTTGGTGTCTATAGACAGCCTCAGTTATGTGATAGATCTGAGGGAATACTTGCCAGAATGGGTCACTTTTGGCTTCTCAGGAGCAACAGGAAGATACTTTGAAACACATAATATCAAATCTTGGGGATTTTACTCAAGCTTACCAGAGAGCATGAACCTGGAGCCAGCAAGTAGCCCAAGTCCCGAAGATGCTGAACCACCACCGACTCCAGTTGTCCAGGAACGTCGAATTGCAGGTGTGAATTCGGGCAAACTAAACAAGAACATAGAGATCGGAATGATTGCTAGTCTGGTAGCATTGATCTTTTTGCTGGCCCTGCTTGGATATGAATATTGGAAGAAGAGGACTAAGGAAGCTAAACCTGCAGAGCTTGAGCTGGATATCACCATGGACACTGAATTCGAGAAGGGGTCAGGGGCAAGGAAGTTTTCCTATAGCGAATTGACAAGGGCAACTAAAAGCTTTTCAGAGGACGAGAAGCTGGGAGAGGGAGGATTCGGCAGCGTATACAGAGGTTTTTTGAAGGACATGAACTCTTTTGTTGCCGTAAAAAGAGTGTCAAGGGATTCCAATCAAGGACTCAAGGAGTATGCATCCGAGGTGACAATCATCAATCGATTGAGGCATCGAAACCTAGTGCAACTCATTGGTTGGTGCCATGAAAAAGGAAATCTCCTCCTTGTTTACGAATTTATGCCTAATGGCAGCTTAGACTGTCATCTATTCAAAGACAGAACATTGCTCTCTTGGGAAACTAGATACAAGATCGCCCTCGGCTTGGCCTCGGCTTTGCTCTATCTACACGAAGAATGGGAGCAATGTATTGTCCACAGAGATATAAAATCAAGCAACATCATGTTGGATTCAAGTTTCAATGCTAAGCTTGGAGACTTTGGCTTAGCCAGACTTGTCGATCACGAAAAAACCTCACAAACGATGACCCTCGCAGGAACTCTGGGATACATGGCTCCTGAATGTGCAACTACAGGCAAGGCTAGCAAGGAATCAGATGTTTACAGCTTTGGAATAGTCGCACTGGAAATAGCATGTGGAAGAAAGGCAGTTGACTTCAACGCCCCGGCGAATCAAGGTATATTAGTGCAGTGGATTTGGGAGCTTTATGGAAAGGGAGAACTACTTGAAGGAGCAGATCCAAAACTTGGATCTGATTTTGTTGAGGAACAAATGGAACGTCTGATGACAGTTGGTCTGTGTTGTGCACATCCTGATAGCGCAAGCCGGCCGTCAATTAGACAAGTAATTCATCTTCTGAATTCTGAATCTCATTTGCCAAATCTCCCACCAAAGATGCCAATTCCAACATATGCAAGCCCAGCTTTTGCCATGTACAGCCCTTCATTTTTCCACACTCGCAATGACGGCACCGATGATGACAGTTATGCACTCCAATCATCAAATCCTAGCAGCAACGTGGCTTCGTCGTCGGGTCTCACCGCATCAACTAAATCTGCTGTTTCTTCTGCATCAAATCCGCGCATATAATCCGTGTGCCTTTTCCATGAACTGCAGTTAGAAGTGCTTCTATGTTTCACTTACAAGAATGCTTGATTTTACTTCACTTACATAAGTGTGACAATTGAATTGTTATCTCGTGCTGTAAATATTGTTGCTGTAACTTTTAAGCATTTTAGTCAATATTTATTTAGTAAATATGGAAATCAACCAAAATACAGAAATCAACCAAGATTGATAATTTGGTCTCTAGAGCTTTGACAATATAATAAGACTGCTGCAAACCTGAGTGAAACATCTAATCAGGGCTTGTCTTAAACTTTATTTTTTATTTATTTTTTATTTTTTGAAACTGGGCTTGTCTTAAACTAGTTCATCAAAGTATGATCACATCAGATTACAGAGTTAATCTGGTTCACCAGCCCCCAAGCTTTCTTCAGTACTGAAGTTAATGTTTAAATTTCCCTTTCATTTATGGCTTGAGCTTTGTCTCTACCCTATGTATCAATAGGCATTGGGCCTCTTTTCCAGATAAGATAATGAAAACTATCTGTTTCCTCCAAAAAATAAATAAAAAAAAAATAAAAATAATAATAAGAATAATAATAATAATAATAATAATAATAATAATAATAATGACCACTTTCTTAGTGTGTTTTTAGTCTGTTTAATACAAGATACAAAAAAGGTGTAGCCCCACTACCTCAATAAATTTTTTCCTCTAATTTTTGGTTGTTGTTCTCTCAATTTGTCATATTGTAATACTTACGCTTTGATTTGGTCGTTTTTTGGTCTTTCTCGCTACTTGCATGATTTTGGAAGTTGAGCATTGATCGAAACGTACGTACCAGTGCCATTGCCAAGTAAAATTGATTGGAGCTCGACGAGCATATACATTGTGCCTTTAATTAATATTGGCCTACTCAGTTGACATTACAAGCAAACAAAAGTCTTCTACTTAAAACTTTCGATTTACCCAAAAGAGTCAACCCCCTAAGGATTATGTTCCTAGTCATTAGAAGGTACGTGCCTCCTTGAAAGACCACGGTTTGTGGGAGATTATGACATGGGTGTCCAAGCACAATTATATGAATACCACCGCGAAAAACAATAATCGAAATGTGAGCAAAACACTTATTGCTCATCTCATAAGGAATAAGGTTGAGTTGGACACGGATTATGAAGTGAAGCTCATTCAGGAAGAAGTGAAAGAACGTATAAATATCGATGTTCCTTACCACAGAGCATGGGTGGGAAGGAGAAAAGCTATCGATCTTATTTATACAGACTCTAACAACTCATTGAGAATTTCATCCTGACATTACACTCCAAAAATCCGATTGTTGTACATGCTCTAACTCCTCTACAAGTGGAGGTCACTGAAGTTCGAACACTTGAAAATTGTAAAGTATTAATGTGTATAAGATAAGAAAAGAGAAAAGTATAGTCAGACTTCTCAAAGTTATTTCAGTAAAAGCGAGAACGGAATGAATCCGAGATATTCATAATTCTGGCGTATGATGTAATGAAATGTAATCCACGAGTGAATGGATGAACAGTTGAAGCCATACGTAGTGCTAGTTCTGCCGTCCAACAAGCTAAATGAGGGATCATCTTCCCTTGCAAGGCTTCAATATATATATGTGTGTGTGTGTGTGTTTAAATCACAAATCCAATAATACACGGGAATATTAGGAAAATTTTTTCAAAATTCTCATAAATACCCGAAATTAACTAATAGAGTTTCGGCAGTCCGAAGACCACCCCCTATCATGAAGCGATGGCATTCATTTGCATCACCACCTTGTCGATGTGAAAGTAACAGTCCTTCATAGTTATATCAAAGTCTATATCAAGAAATTCTGATCTTGCTCGAGTCTTCGCCTGATTATTTCTCAAAAAATTAACAGCATCCTCAAGTGTATAACCATCAGCTTCTTCTTACTGAAACCAAAAAAAAAAAAAATTATAATAAAGTCATTCAGTAGAAAAGAAAAGAAAAGAACAATACTCACTGTCCCAAAAGTAGGACTATTTCGAGAGACGGAGAGAATACAAAGTTAAGAGAAATTTAGATAAGTGTAATCTTACACTACTCAGTTACTTCATACTTATTCCGAAACCTCAAAAATTGCAAACCATCCTGAAGACAAGGAAGCACAGGAAAAATATCTCATCCTTGAGTATACCAACTAGTTCATGATACACAAAATTAAGCCACTGCATGTAACCAAAATATGTGTGCCTATCGCAACATCTTTGTTATAAGAGTTATGCACTGCACAACAAATGTTCAAGTCAAGTTTCACAATATCAATTATAAAAGAACAACCAAACCTACAATTTAGTAACTCAAAATGTAGAAATCAAAACAGTTAACTCACATGAAAAAGTTCAAGTCAAGGTTTCACAATATCAATTATAAAAGAACAACCAAACCTAAAATTTAGTAAGTCAAATGTAGAAATCAAAACATTTAACTCACATGAAAATGTTCAAGTCAAGATTTCACAATATCAATTATGAAAGAACAACCAAACCTAGAATTTAGTAAGTCAAAATGTACAAATCAAAACAGTTAACTCACATGCACGCCCAATTACAACATCACACAACGGACTATCAACATCAAGAAAAATGCAGTGCGTATGAGTTAAACTGTCGAAGAATTTGAACACAACTATGGTTCTACTGGTAGCTATACTGTAAGTAAAAATTTATATCATGTCGAAAGAAACTCATCAAAGGCTACAACATGAAGAGTAATAAAATGTGTAGGACAGGATAAAAGATAAAGTTTATAGTATATTCAACCAATAATTCTTGGTTTTTTATCCCAATCAATTATTATTTAAATGCACTAATAAAAAATAGTTAGTAATGAGTATATTTTCTAACTAATTTATGATATATTATTGTAAATAATATTTGAATTGTATAATTTTAAAAATATGGATTGAAGGCTATTTTGACCGTTCATACAAAATGAATAATGATATTAGCATGTTAAGGGGGGTTTGGTAAGTTATATTAGTATTTCCAAAAGTCAGGAGTTTTATGATAGATTGAACCAAAATTTGATGGGTTTAATGTAGTTTGCCCGATAAAATATATGTGTTACAAAGCAACCAAGCCATAAAATCCAATTTCACTAATCCGAATTCGAGTTGAATGAATATTTTTCAAGCAGATAAAAAAGTAATTATACTTTGACAATTGAGAGCAAGTTAGCAACAACCGTAAATACCATAGTCGTCAAAAAGGGTAAAAAAAAAAAAAAAAAAAAAACTCTGAATATCTAAAAGCTGGATCATGCACTATGCACTAGTTTAACTTAATCACGTTCAAAAGCTTCTCTAATCTAATTCAATAGCTATTTAGGACTGAAAGTTTGAACTTAGCCCACGGACTATGGACTAGTTAACCTCAAACAAGTCAAAAAGGCTTCTCTAATTTTATCCAAAAACTCTTTTTTTTTTTCATATTTGCAAGTGTCCACCATTAACAATAATGACTAATACCCCTCGCTGAATTGTAGACACTTCAATGAGTGGGACAGCTAGCCAAAGTATTCAAAAATTATTTTGGATGAAGATTTTTTAACAAAACCCATAAACCTAGAAGATCAATATTTTTTAATTTTATGATGAGTGCATGATGATTAAACAAAATTGATTTTAAAAGAAAAGAAAAAAAACTGAAAGTTTGATACTACTTAATAAAATAGGTTGGGCAAATTCTAACCGATCAATTTATCTTTCAACTAAATAATTCGCAAAGTACTTTTAGTTAGGATATTGTTCTTAGAAAATCAGTTTAGTCTCAAATAACAATGCAACGAGGTCGAAATCTTAGGAAATATTCCCTCCGGTCTTAATTATAAGGCATTTTGATTTGTCCTAATTTACATTTAGTACGCATTTTCATTGATAAAACAAAATCTTAAAAATATATTTTCACATTTGTTGTGTTCTTTAGATTGTTATGAAATATTTTCAAGTTTTTTTTTTTGTCAATTAAAAATACGTATTAGATAAAACCTAAGACAAATCAATATATCTTATATTAAGGACCAGAGGGAGTATAAGTCAAAACGCTTCAGGACACAAAATCAATATTTTTTGAAAACAGATAATAAATACAGTTAGTTTTCTTTTTATCTTTTACACATAATAAGCCTGCTGCCACTTTCATGGACCTTGTTTCGGTAACATTTCTAGCCAAAACAAAGATGACAATGGACTGATGACGATACTGCACTTAGGAAATCCATGATGAAAATAGTAAATTATAAAAATAAATAAAACTTCGCCATCAACTATCTTTGATTTCCACTTCGAAATATAATTTTCTCAGAAATTATATTCTGGAGTTAGAAATGTCACCTATCAAAATAAAGTACGGACCTCTTTTCCAATTAGTGAGTGAAGTGAGACACACGGACTACAAAATCTGGACTAAATTAGTTCTTGAACCAAAAGGTTCCTATTATCTATATTATTATTTTTTTTAATAAGAAAATTGCACTATAACATACTATAGATACAAAAATAAAATTGATTCTCCCTTCTGCAATGTCGATGCCTTTCTGGGCCTTTCTGGGAAATCATTCTGTGTAGTGTCATTCAATGTGCTGGAACTGTGCAGAGTAGGCCATGTCCTGGATTATGTTCCAAAGGATACATCGTTGTACCTTTAACGTATTTTTGATGCTCAATAGCTGCACTTCTTAACTTTGGTGCCACTTTAGTTTTCCCTGATATTTTCTTCTTAATGGAACATGCAGCTAGAGGATCCTCAGATCCTGCTCCAGTCCTCCTAGAAACACAGTAAAAAACAAAACGATTTAAACATGACACAGATGCAGAAACCAAACTGCAAGTATTTTGAATTTGCGGCACGCCTAAGATAAGAAGATACAAGCATATATCCAGGAGAAGACTTGAAACTTAAAACCCAAGAAACACCTGTAGGTAATATCTTTGATATCAATCAATACATGGCAGCCAATATACCGGACTAGGATCCATAGGGTATATGAAAAAGACAGGGTTAACAATTAGAGAGAGACTAGGGATACAAGAGGAATTTCAGGGGTCACACAGCGGACTAAAATAGAGCTCCAAGGACTGATATCATGATGACCAGCCTTTAGCCTATCATTACTAATTAGAAAAATGGCCGTGGTTTTTTTTTTTTGGGGGGAAAAGAAAATGGCCAAGGTAGACTAAACGAGAAAAACAGAAAGAGAGGGTGATCAGCATAGGCCAGTTAGTGGAGATGCATACTTGGCTCGCATACTTATAATCATCCAGTGCTATAAGTAAATCAAAACAGTATTGCATTATACTTTTCAAGTCAACTTAAACTACATCCAGAAACAAATTCAAACCCAAATAGAGTTGCGACATAATCAAAACTTACTCAGGCTTAGTGCATGTTCATTAGCAAGTTGAGTCAAGCTAAACCTAAACCAAGGAGTTCAACGTGTTCAATTAGCTAAATCAAAGTCAAGCTTCAATTATGCTTCTTGTTGGCTGACTCCACTACAGAACTTTCTTACGTATAGTCAGCGCTCAAGCAACAATGAAATAAGCCACTTGCATAGAGGATGGTGCAGGAAGGTTCCAGAAATGTAGGTAGCTTCCTATTAGGATTTAGGAGATAGCTAAAATCTTCTCAGAATTAAGTTTCCTTTTAGTTTATTCCTATTTGTTACATTATTATTAATTAGTTTTATGCAATCCTAATGGCTTAAGGAATAAGCCAGACATCACGATAACTAGGGAGGTTTTGCAGCAGTTGTGAGGGACGTTTTCTAATTTATATAAAGTTAAGCTTTTGTAGCTCTCAGAGACTCCGCCTTTCTGAAATCCTACAGCCAGGGTTTGCCTATCTCGTTGGTTTTCAATTCTGTCAGCCTATTTCCATCAGAGGCCCTCCAAAACACTAGCAGAAATGCGATGGTATAGGAATATAAGAAACGTGAAATACAGATCCCTTCTACAATCACTACTTTGATCAGAGACAACAATCTTCATTAAATGAACAAAAGACTTAATCATGAGCACCAGGCACTAAAGAAGTTAGATTACCTCAACAATTTTTCTGATGCAATCCTGGAAGACCTTATTAAGTTCCTGTCTGGAACAAACTTCACAGCTCGATTTTGATCAGCACGCATTGGAGAATGGATTTTTATAAGCTAATATTCAAGAATGAACAAGAGTCAAATACTGACAACTATCAGAGAAAATCAACCAAAGCAAACACATGATGCAAAAGTTGTCTCGTAAAAATCAGATACAGACATATAACGCATGGATGCCAAACTTGGAGGTATCTTGAAAGAGCGTGAGGGAAACAAAACAATTCTTTTTGTAGCTAATTATTTTACAAGCAGTAATTTCTCCTAGTCATAATACAATGGCAATAGATAGTTTGACATTTGTGCATTTCTATGAAAAATATAGGCAGAAATGCTAATAATTGTACACAAATAAAGCAAGAAAACTAGTGTAACTTGACGCAAAACAAACAATAAAAGTAAAACAGACTAATCAACATGAGGATTCTCGAGAATGAACAGTTATATACTTACTCCTAGACACTCCATCATTTGGTAGTAAGCCCTGCCATGTAATGGAGTATGACCCTGCCGAGACTCAGAGAAATATCTTGTCCTGAAACGAAGTTAAGAGACAGTTGATAATCGTCCATAACTGTTCCAAGTAATATATAAATGAAAAAGAAGAGCACAAATTTATTAGTTCAGCATACCATTCTTTATAACCTGGATCTACAGTAAAACCATACATATCCACAGTTTCACAGATGGAGAGGGCAAATTCAAGAGCTTTTAGCCCAGTTCCTTTGGCTGCTGAACCAAATGACGCACCCAACATGAGATACACAGGATTGAGAATTGGGACTTCCTAAAACACCAATACTGTATATTAGCAGCAAATCAGCAAATAATAGATCAAACATACTCAATGCGAGTCTGAACTATTTATTATCATTCAAGCCATCTGTTGCTAATAACATATGATTTACAAAAGACAGACTCAACTGAAAAGATAGCAAAAAGGACAGGTACGAATAGAGTCATGTCAATAACTTATGTATGGATCCTGGAAACAAAATCCTTTTCTACGTTCCAATCAAGAGAAACTATTCCAAGCTTCAAGGAAAACTATAATGTAAAAGAACAATGTAGGGAAGTTTTTAGGTTTTGTCATCAATGAAAAACATTGTAAATATCAGAATTAACTATTACTTTTGACATCAAAAATCAAAATTAGCCTACTGAAATGCCAGTCATCCCAAAGTTGCACCCAAGTTCACAAGGAACTAACAGATGGAGTCCTGTAACAGCAGAGGACATGCAACATTCTAGACTCACACATGATCTGCAAATTTGTAGGAAATACATCATAATATTTTAGTGGGAAGAATTGAGAACAGACCTTAATCATTTTGTTCATGATGTCATGAATTGTTGTTTTGACTAAAAGGACCTCCTTTCCTCTATCTGTACGGTGAAAAGTTAAGTGAGATGCACTTTATGAAGAATAAAATAGAATTACACTGAGAGCAGAAAAGGATACCATATAGCTCAGCTACTTTATCAAGTGCTTTGGCAGAGCCCCTATTTAGAAGGCGAAATGTACTCTTGGTACCAACATACTCGGTATAATTCTGCACATCAATCAGAAAAGAAAGCATTGACAAGTATAAGTCTACAAAGTTGACTACAGAAAAAATGTCGGGGACTTTTTAATATCCAAAAACACTTAGTACTACCTGAATTGGTGCCCCATTCTCCCTCACAACAACATCATAACTATCTATTTCCTTGCCAAATCTGGTCTTCAGTAGATCTCCTGAGTTACCAATAACAGCACATCTGTCAAACTGCCTGGGAACATAGGGTGGTCTATCTGGGAGTACCAAGGAAAGTTTCTCCATGCATAGAGTTCGATTTTCACAGCGGTTCCTGCGGTGGAAACACGATAGGTCATGAATTGCATAGGTGCATTTTCATAGAGACATATTTGGTCAATCTGACAAAGCATGTTAAGTGAAATAAGAGTTAGCAAAAAATAATAATAATAAAAATAATTTTTTTTTTTTCAATAGGCACATTGATTTCTAATGTTGTCTTTGAAGGTTAGATAGTTACGACAATGTGTCGGCTTGTAAAGAGATGAAGAGGGAGGGGGTAAATGAAGATTTCAAATGCCTTCCAGAAGGGGCAACAAACAATATATTCAAGCACGGTGTATATGGTGCAATAATCTTTTTACTTCTAGCACGTACTTAGATCCATGATGTCTTCCCCTATAACTGATGGCTGTTTCTCAGTAAATTTAAGAGGAAACATACTTACAGAAGTATTCCTTTATTTATTCTCCGCCAAGCATACTCCTCCCATCCGCTTGGTAAAGCATCAATGAACTCCTTTGCAAGGATTGTGGTACTATTCCTCACCTGAGCAAATTATCTCACTAAATAACATATAAGTTGCAAACACATGACAGATCCATCCAGACAAAATCTGGATCGAATAGACAGTACGGGTGAAAGATGTATATTTAACTCCTGAATTAAACAAAGTGGAAGTCTTCTCATCTCTGTGTAACTTGTCACAGAGAATATTGAATTTAAATTCATTTCCGTAAGGACATAAAGTATAGTCTATTTCTTCAAGTATCTTCCTGATTTACAGTAGGCCGTAACAGTTCTTACGGCAACATGGAAATTCTTGTCAGTTAATATTAACTTTAGAGGTTGTATATGACATCATTGAGGTCTCAGTTGTGAATGTTTTTGAGATCTCAATTGCAGGAAGAAACTAAATAAATAAAAACTCAATTTTTTTCAGGATAATGTATACTTCTGTTGCTAAGTTGAGTGAGAATTTGCAATAGCATTGAATACTAAAACCATAGTGCATATATTGAAATTTAATCCATCCCGCAGAAAATTCTATGTAAAACTGTACTGCATATAAGTTACACAAATACTAACCTGTTCCCATGTAGCCACAGCTTCACATAAATTAAACTCAAATGACAAGCCTTCAAGTTCCCCAGTTTTTGGATCTTTCTGGTCAGTTTTTGGAAAAAGAAGAACAAATAAACATTAGTTGCCAGGATAATTAGAAAACTAAATGAATGCAGTTTTCCCTTTCTTGTCCGCATTTCTGTGAAAATAGATGCAAAGTTACTAAGTCTACAGACAAGAAAGTTTCCATCTGAAGAAAGGAACAGACAGGACACATGATGTCGAATTTGTCAAGGGATCAGTGATAGACGTACCCATTTGGGGATTGTATCTGCCGGAAATTTTAGAGTGACATCACAATAATCCCTACTGAGAGCTTCTAATCCCAGTCCATTTGCACTCTGTATCAAGATATGCTGAAGTAAGAAAATGACCCAATACAGACCGATACAGGTTTCTCTTGATCCCCAAATCTGATTATGCTACTAAATACTCCCAATCGGAGATTGCACAATCAATAGGGCCGTATACAAGGACAAACTCATGAGTGAGAATAATTTGACAAATAATTTTTCACATGACACATACTACAACACATTTAGCCGATGGTATAATGATTTGTCAATTAAAAAGAAACTACAAACTCAAATATGGTCTAATCAAAAGATAAAGTAAGAGACATAAATGCCAAGAAACTTCTCCATTCCCCGAAACCCATGGGTTTTCCGTAAAATACATAATATGATAACTCACTTTGCCAATCTAGACTTCACTAGCCTACTAAGATACAAATTAAGAAATCTTCAAGAGTTGATAAAGCATCAAATAAAAAATTCATTAAGCATCCCATCAAATCAAAAGTTCAAAGAAGCAATATGATGTGTGTTAGTTACATAATGGTAGCTACTGCTGCTCCTGAAACACCATGGAATTGAAATCTCCAAACGGAATCTCAGAATATAAACGAATTTCAGAAACTAGAGAGTATCCTATTGGTGATGTAAACAAAATTGGCACACTAACCACACATTTCCGAAATGTAGTCTGCAATTTCTTCAAAGCCTCCACATCGTCATTGGATAGAGGAATTGATCCATCTGCTTAAAGAGATGTGCACACAATCATTTCTCATTAATTCACACAAACCGAGGAAATTATATCGGAGTAGAAACAAAATTAGTAGCTTACCTTGGAAGGAGACGCCGTAAATGTAGATGAAAATTGCCGCAAAACCAGAAACCAAAGCTAAAGCAAACGTTGATCTTAAGAGCTTCATTAGAGTTCATTACCCTAATTTAGCTTTCCTCCAATCTTTTTTCACTCCTTTTCACTACATACAAACATGAATTCACGGACTTCTTAAACGAACGCCACGAAATTCACTGTGTATTTGGGAGACCAATCAGTCCGACAACTGTAATTGGCGGCGGAAGAAGCGGGGATCTCCGAAGCGGTGGCGGTTGCCGGAGTAGCGGTGGCGGTGGTCGTGACGGAGTAAACAGAAGAAGAATAAGCTACCAACTGAACTGTCAGTGAAGCAAAGTGTATTGGAGTAGATCACTAGATCCAAGTCGGTGTGTAAATAAGAAGGGGAAGAAAAACAGAGAAAAATAATCCTATGTAATAATGTGGATTTTGGGCTGAAAACGTGCATATGCTCATCACTTCAAGGTTTAAAATGGGCTACAACCCAATTTAAACATATCCTCCAAGTCCAACAAGAAATATCTTCTTACTTGGCAAATGCTCATCACTTCATTCTTTTCCAACCAGGCAAAAAGAGGATTGCCTCTTGCAATTTCTTATTAAAAAAATGTTGATTCATCTGAATTTGGTTTCAGTGGGATTCTCTTTTGAGGAAATCCTTTCATTGAAGAGATTCTTGTTTATCATTCATGATTTATTTTGATGATATATTTCTTTACCGCAGGGGTGGTTTTCGTGTAGTTTCCCATGGGTTCTATTCTTTTGGCTTGGGGATGATAATAGATGGGATCATAGCTGGTAAATGTGGTGAGAATTTGATAAATGCACAAGAAAGACCTTGTCTCGTATTATAACCTAAATGTGGTGTTTGTTTAAATTGAGTGATGAGTGAGGCAATTATAAAGGAAAATACCAAAAAGACCAAAACTATGAAGTAAATAAATAAATAAAATTCAGTACAATATCTCAAAAAAAAAATTCTCTCTTATGTTTCTTTTCCCAGGTTTGCAATTTGTACCATCGCAGCAATGAATAGGTTCTCGCTACATTTGAAATACCATGGTGGGTAGGATAATTAACTAAAAGAGTTAAAATTTGTCCATATCCAAAGTAAAAATTGAATAGTCGGCCACATGATTAAAGCATATTCCGTATCGAAAGTAGTTTTTGACTCTCCAAGATAAGGGTAGTTGAGTTTAAGTCTCCAATATACACTAGATGCTTGCCCGGGCGTGCCGCCCGGGGTGTCGTTTGTATTTCTAAATCGATTAAATAAAAAATACGAATCATTCTTAAAAGAATAAAAAAAATAAAAGAATAAAAAATCGATTGAAAGGACAGAAAGTGAGCTATTACACATAAATCTATGCCCAGATTTACAACATTTAATTTATAACAGTTAACTTATGCCCGAGTTTACATAAATCATAAACCAATATCTACAACAGAAGAATAAAAAAAATCATCCTTAAAAAATCAAATTTCTTTCATGACAGCTTTTTTTTTCTCTGTTGTAGAAAGAGATGGATTGATAATTGATGTTAAATTTTAAGTAATTGATTTGAAGGCCCGGGTGTAAGAGAGGAACGGAATAGAAGAGATTCTTTGAAATTAAGGATTGGAAAGACATTACTGGTGTTTCACTTGATTTAAGGGGATTTCCTTATATTTGATTTTATCAACTAAATATTGTTGTTTTAAAGAATTAGTATATACCTATAATTAAGATATTTTTATGTAGCTATAATTAAGGGATTTATGTATTTATCTATTCTATCTTTTTTTTCTGATTAGTTAGAGTGCCACGTGTTAAAAATGATTTTGTACTGAAAATGGTTTTTGCCAGGAAAATTTTCATTGTGGTGCTGACACATGTCCTTTTTGTTTACTGTTTTAATTAAGTACTATAGATAAGACCATGTTAATCATTGACAAGAATGACTAATCCAACCCACCACAATAATTTTTATTCTTGTTCTTATTCCATTTTTCGAAACACCATAACAACAATAGACGTTTAAGAATCACCCAATTGATTACTACAAATTTTACAATGACAGGTTCAATTTGGGTATATTAAACAACTATTTCAGGGTCATGCATCTATGATTCTATGGATAGCCACACAACAAAGCCTCCATACAGTGAAAATGACAAGGTTTATGGCACACAAACAGGACAGAAACCAGTAATAGTTATCAAGCCTGCTACTGTTTATGGTGTCCTGGAACCAGCTCTGTTTTCCTTCTCTCCCAGTTACCTTTCCCAACACATTTACTACAACAATACTTCCAATGTATCCCGAATTTTTAACCATCATGCTAATTATCATCATGTACTTGTATAAACTTGGAGGTAGGTAGTCTCTGGCCGTGATTATTATAGACGAATTTCGATGAAACATACCCTCAGCGGCACCGAGGAGGATGATGACAGTAAAATATATACACTTTTAGCAAGTATTTTCTACTCATTTTTACTTAGTATTAGGTGTCAATTAATTAGAATTAGTTTACTTTTGGGTTGATTTTATATTTCAGTGTAATCAAGGGGCTAATGTGGAAAATCGGCATAAATGAGGGCCAAATTGCACAAAGGAGCATCATTCTGGACTGAATTGGAAGTTGCTGGAAATCAGGCTGCTGGAAGGACGATCAGAGTTAGAGCAAGTGGAGAAATCCTTGCTGAGGAAGGAAGAATGGCAGCAGATGATCACAAATTGAAAGAATCTGCAGCAACATACTCAATTTAGAGGAAGAAGGATAGCTACTCTACTACCAAGTTGCTGCTGCAGTAGCTGTTACTGCTGTCAATAAAAATAGGAAGCCACGAGCTAAAATCTTGGTGCCCAAGGAAGGAAATTTCTTTGCCATCGCTGCAAGTTGTTGCTGCTGCAAGTGGAAGAAGAGAAAGAAGGAGAATATGTGAAGAACATTAGCTGCAACTCTGCTACTTACCAACTGATGCTACCGCTGAGTTGATGGATTGGCTGCTACAGAAGGGTGAGCAATGGTATAGCAAGTAACCCAGGAAACAAGGAAAGAAAAGGGCAGAAGATTAAGGCTGAGTTGGGGGCTGGAAACACGATGATGAAAGGAAGCATGCTGCTAATGTTGCTGTTTGCTGACTACTGCAAATTGAGCTGTGAGAATTAAAGAATGAAGAAATGGAGAATTGTGGCTGCAAATGGTGAGAAGGCGCCGAAGAAGAAGACTAAGGAGAAGCAGCAATGATGAGTAGAAGGTGGCTAATTGCGGCTGAAGAAGGAATGAGTCAACAAGAGAAGACAACAACTTGCCAATTGAGCAAGTTGCCAATTGGGCAAGTTGCTGAATAAACAAATGCCTTTGGCTGCTGCAACTTGCTGTCTCATCTGATCTGTTGTAAAGAAGGCCAGAATCCATCAATCCAAGCCTCTTCAAATCTCTATAAATAGTCAGCTAATAGTAGTAGTTAAGGAGGACAGATTGGGTAGTTAGAATCATTTACAAAAACAGTAATTAGGTAGTTAGTTAGTTGGATAGAAACAGGGTAGTTGTAGGAACAGAAGTGCAGGCTGTCACTTTGTCAAGTGGCGAACGTCACTTGCCTAAGTGAGCAGACAGCAACTGCCCTGCTACCATCTTTCCCTTCTATCCTCTAACTTTTTGATCTTGAATTATGTCTTATCTTTTGCACTTCGTTGCTCTCATATGTAACTCAATAACCATGAGTAGCTAACTCAGTTAAGGGTTCAATCCCTACTATATTTATGTGAAAGTTTTGGTTTAGTTTTTCTTGATGAGGCATTGTGTCTAGTTTAAGTGCTTTAATTAATCTTTTAATTAAACTGGCCACTTAATTAAATGTGCATGTATGTTATGGAGATCTGAGAGGGAAAACATAACTAGAACGTCTTAAATTAGTCTATGACAAAGGAGGAAATCCACCCTTTGGTTTCAATCATCAACGAAAGTTAGGTGATTGGCATACATAATCAATAAGGCTTAAAAACTCAATGGCCTACATTAATCTCAATAATTTGACTCAGAGGTAGATCATTTGGTAATCTAAGACTCTGTACTCTGTCTGAGAGGAATTGTAAAGAATACATGTGCCCGATCAAACAATAAATCATACACTACAGGATCATTTGAATCAGAACTGGATCATGAAGATAGGAAGGTGATTGACCCTTCTGCCTCTTCACTCTGTCAAGTGACTATTCTCACTCTCCCAAATGGCAAATCTGTTCAACTCTTTAACTTTCTTTTCCTTGCACTTTAGTCAGATTTTGAGTGCTTGACTACCGTCTCTGTGGAACGACCCTACTTACCACTAGCTAATAGTTTTAAGTAGGTTTTATAAATATTCTATTTGGGGTTGGAATCAACGACAACACAATTCTAAACCACCAGAGGATAAACTGAGGTAGTAACTAGAAAACCGACATCGAAATTCTATTATCTAGCTTGTGGGCTTTAACCATATCCAGTCTACGGGATTCCACTTTGGCAGGAGTCACACAAGATAAAAGGGCTAAGAGCATTAACACTATAATTCCTGTATACCCTACAAAGGATGCATTTGGGTATAAATATTTAATTCCGGCAAACATTTTGCAGAATTTATATCTTCCTTGCCAATAGAACCACAAAAAGACGGAGAGTGGAATGGTTAGGTTTCCGACGACTTTGTAGTTCATGTGTTTTGCCTGTTCAACAAAGAATGTATGCCCAAGGCAATCAATCAAACCCAAAAAGATGAAGAACATGCTGACGGGAATCAAGCTGATCACCAGTTTTGTAATTTCAACTTCCGTCACTGAGCAGAGCTTCCATTTATTTTTCTCTTGTTCTTCCAGTGTCTGGTCTGGTAAAATTATCGCAGCCTTGTTTAAACACATGCATATTTAGTTATTTACAACGAAAAAGATAAATTAAATAATAATAATAAAAAGAATGTAACCAATATATTAAGTAAAGAAAAGTACAAATTAAGATTGATTCTTAACCTGAGGCCATGATAACGTGGACCGTGCCAAAGAAGCCTCTTGTAGAGTTCAATATGATTTATGGATGGGGATGAGATATTTTTGAAGCTGAGGCCACAATGACCCTAAACACCACCATAAAAGGGCTGGCCTGAGGTTAAGAAGAGTAGTATACACTACTCAACAAAATAGGTATTGCCACCACAAAAATGATGGTTGGTATCCTGAAATAAAGAGACCACGACTTTATATAGGGGAGTCCTAACACTGCAGATGAAGTGACTGTATATCGAACAACATCAATTGCTGTAACACCTAAGATTAATATTCTCGAGGCATATCCATGTACATTATTTTCAAATTGTTCATCCAGGAGAAAAGTGTGGGAAGACAGAAATCCAGCATTCCCAACCGCCGATATTGTTAATGCAGTGTAAAAGAGTGCACGTTGAGTGTCCCTAATGCATTCGGGCTTGTATGATCCGCATGTTCTAGTAACCTTATGGAGGACCGGTGGCGTCGACAATGTCATAAGACCCATCCCCTGCTTTACAGTAAAAGATAACTTCAGTTCAGCTAAACTACACCATGATTGTTTCTTGGCCTACTCCACTTATGTGTTTGAGATTAAAAATAAAAATTAAAAAATTCAATAAGTCTTCTGATATACTACTTACATTTCTAATTATGTGACACAAATTTTATAAAGAATAGAATTATACATGAATTATACATCATTGTTGAGAGTAAATTAATATCAATATATAAGTTTCATGGTTATTCTCTTTATCGTCAATTGGT